GGCGTGGTGGCTCACACCTGTAATCCCAGCACTTTGAGAGGCCAAGGCAGGAAAAATCCAGGAGCTTGAGACCAGCCAAGGCAACACAGTGAGACCACATCTCCACAAAAAACAAAAAAAAATAGCCATGCGTGGTGGCGTGGTGGCTCACACCTGTAATCCCAGCACTTTGAGAGGCCAAGGCAGGAAAAATCCAGGAGCTTGAGACCAGCCAAGGCAACACAGTGAGACCACATCTCCACAAAAAACAAAAAAAAATAGCCATGCGTGGTGGCATGCACCTGTAGTTCCAGTCACTTGGGAAGCAGAGGCAGAAGGATTGCCTGAGCCTAGGAGGTCGAGGCTATGGGAAGCCTTGACTGCACCACTGCACACCAGCCTGGGCGACAGAGTGAGACCCTGACTCAAATTAGAGAGATTATGCTCTTAAAATTGGGCTCTTACAATGCCCAGTGTATAGTTGGGTTAAAAAATGTCAGTTATGGGTCATGTGTGGTGACTCATGCCTATAATCCCAGCTCTGTGGGAGACTGAGGTGGGAGGATCACCCTAGGTCAGTCGTTCAAGACCAGCCTGGCAAAATAGTGAAACCCCGTCTCTATAAAAAACAAAAAATAATTAGCCAGGAATGGTGGCATGAACCTGTAGTCCTAGTTACTCATGAGGCTGAGGCAGGAGGATCTCTTGGGCCCAGGAGTTCAAGGTTATGGTGAGCCATGGTCCTGTCATTGCATGTCTGCCTCGGTAACAGAGTGATAATAATGTTGTTGCTGCTGCTTGAGATATACAAGTTACTATTAAGATCAGAATGTAAGCTGGGCGTGGTGGTTCACGCCTATAATCCCAGCACTTTGGGAGGCTGAGGCAAGAGGACTGCCTTAGCCCATGGATTCGAGACCAGCCTGGGCAACTTGGCGAGATCTCCTCTCTACAATAAATCAAAAAGTTAGCTGGGTGTGGTAGCGTGCACCTGTAGTTCCAGCTACTTGGAAGGCTGAGGCGGGAGGATCGCCGGAGCCCAGCAGTTCGAGGCTGCGGTGGCCGGGAGCGTGCCGCTGCCCTCCAGTCTGGGTGACAGAGTGAGACTCCGACTCAAAAAAAAGAAAAGAAATCAGAGATGCAAAGCTCACTGAAGGTCAAAAGGATCAGGAGGGGCTTCATGACCCCAAGTCAAATAAATGGCTAGAAACTAATTCCACCAATGTAGTCCACCAGTTCTTGCAAACACCCAGCAACATATCTGAGAGAGAGCCGCAAAAGGCATCATACACACTTATTTAGCAAAGTGCTCGGTTCCACTCCAGAAGCCAACCAGTCCAGCTTCAACCACACTAGCATCACGAAACCTGGAAGTGGCAGAGGTTAGGGAAGAGAGGAAGATAATTACAGCTCAGCATCAAGCTGGTCCTGTGTCAGAGGAAATTATAGCGGCATGGGTACAAGACTCTTGAAAACAAATTAGCCCTTGCCCGTCAAAACAATCTGAGATGGTGAAAATCAATACATCTCTCTCACTTGTAAACCTCTCAGCCCTGCTTGGTCTCTACTCAAAGTCTCATTCCTATTCACTTCCCACAAACCCCGTTCCACGCTGCCACTTCAGCTCTGCTCTAGAGACCTTTGCTTGTTATTCTGGACCTCTGCCCTCTGGAACGCACCAAGGGTTGTTCATTGGTGTTCTGCAAAATCTGGTTCCCAACTTTGAGAAAACAAATTTGGATTCTCTAAATTTAGAAAGGTTTAATGACATATTTTCCATAATTCCATGAACC